GCTGGTACTCCCCTTGTTATTCAGTACCAGGTGTCAGTATCCTCTTGTTATTCAGTACCAGGCGCTGGTATTCCCCCTTCCATTCTTTACTGGGTGCTGGTACTCCTCTTGTTATTCAGTACCAGGTGTCAGTATCCTCTTGTTATTCAGTACCAGGTGCTGGTACTGCCCTTTTTATGTGGTACCAGATGCCGGTACTCCCCTTGATATTCAGTGCCGGTATTCCCCTTATTATGTGGTACCAGGTGCCTTTACTCCCTTTGTTGTTCAGAACCAGGTACCAATACTCCTTTTGTTATTCAGTACCAGCAGATATTGAGAGGTGCCATTACCCTGATGAAAATACAAAGAGGTGCTGAAACTGCATACAGGTAAGTACCAGTCCCCTTCAAACACTACCTAAGGTAGGGTTGTGAGCCGTGAAGATAAAAACTTCCTTAAGCTGAAGCTGTGCAGGACAAATGACCAGATCCATAAAAGCAGGCATGCTTGGCGAGGCGTGTCTTAACGAACAAATATGGGGCCTGCAAACCCTCATGTGTCAAGAAGTCAAACAGTTTTTCTGCTTGGTCGCCCCTGCTAACTTTGAAGGCATCCCAGAAACAATCAATAATCCAAACAATCAGATATTTTATGGGTTCCACTGAAATAAAGGTTGAACATGAGAAATACCTTGGTGTGTATGTTGATGCTTCCGTGTCCCACTCTCGCCAGTGTGAGGAAGCAATAAAAAAGGCCAATAGAATGTTGGGTTACATCTCTAGGTGTGTGGAGTTTAAGTCAAGGGAGGTGATGTTACATTTATACAATTCCTTGGTAAGACCACACCTAGAATATTGTGTGCAGGTTTGGTCACCATAACTAAAAAAGGACATTGCTGCCTTGGAAAAGGTTCAACAAAGGAATGCAAGAGTGATTCCTGGTTTTAGAGGAATGTCTTATGATGAGAGGTTAGCTGAGCTCAATCTGTTCAGCCTTGCGCAAAGGAGATTAAGGGGGGACATGATCCAAGTATATAAGATTCTAACAGGTCTGGATGCTATTCAGCCAAATGGCTACTTCAATATTAGTTTAAATGCTAGAACTCGTGGCTATAAGTGGAAATTAACGGGAGAACATTTTAAACTGAATCTGAGAAAACAAGTCTTTACACAGCGTGTGGTTAGAGTATGGAGTAGTCTTCCTGATAACGTAGTGCAAGCTAAAACCCTGGGTTCCTCTAAAACTTAACAAGCTTGTTAAGAAAGCTGGCTCTGTCCTGGGCTGCACACTGGACACCATCGAGGAGGTGGCGGACAGAAGGATGATACTAAAACTGTCATCCATTATGGATAACCCCTCCCACCCCCTGCACCACACTGTGGAGGCTCTGAGCAGCTCCTTCAGCACAAGACTGTTACACCCTCAGTGCAAGAAGGAGCGCTTCCGTCGATCATTCCTCCCCACAGACTTTACAACACATCACTGCAGTGACCACATAATCAATATATATATATATATA